GGGCCGCACCACTACCTTCTCCCCTCCAGCTGTGACAAAAATGTCTGTAGATGTCAGCAAACATCCCCCAGGGTGGCAAAATTGCCCCCAGATGAGAACCACTGTCCTAGATCTATCAGGAAACAGATCTGAACATGTGAGCTGCTTGCTTGAGTATCACAAGAACAAAAGAGAAGAGTTAAGGCTTCATTTTAAAATGCACATGAATAATCAGGAAAAAGGGACAAAAAATGGTCAGCAATAGGTGAACCATACGTGGACTATACATGGCCAATCAAAGCATGGAATGGAGAGTCACTCACTAAAAACTGAACAAATACAAATTAACAGCGCTTGTGTACGTCACTGCTCAGCTCACGGCACTCACAGAGAGATGCAGAGAAACAAACGCTTTTTTAAAAGCCAGAACTCACTGTTCAGTATGACTCTTGACATATAACAGAGAATGTTGAAAAAATTTTAAAAATAGTAATATAAATACAAAGTAGAACACTGAAGTATGTTAGCAAAGAGTTTCAATCTGGTAACAGGGTTCCCAGGGTAGGACAAAACACACTGCCATACACATTAGGTAGTACAGACTGGTGAAAATAATTCAGATAAACACAAAAACATGCGTAAAAAAAACACATCATCAATGCATTATCTGAGTAGCAAAAGCAACAACCAACTCTGGAAAGGAGCTAGCAGCCGTCACCAGGGAATGAGTAACCATGCTGCACAGCTATGACATGGACTATGTGGCTAATGACATGAAGGGGTCCAGGTGTAGCATGCAAGGATTGTTTTCATGAGAAGGAAGGACCCTCTTCTCAAAAAAAGTCACAGAGAAGGGAAAAAGGGCGCCACTTCTCTCTAGGCTGTGTCATTTGGGGTTATTTTTATCATTTGCTATTTGTGAATTATGTAACTTTTTATCCTTACTAATAGTAAATAATAAGAGTTCTGCAATGCCCACCCTTCACCCTCTACCTGCCTACGTCTCCGCCAGCCTGCAGTGACTTCCTGCCAAACAGGGACCTTGCTGTCAGTGATCCTTCCCAGCACACCCATTTTACAGATGAGCGGTCTGCAGTCACAGGGGGGGCAAGTGTGCCCAAGCCAGGACGTGAGCAGTTCTCTCCTGCTGTGAAGACATTGCCTAACAGGCAGGCTCTGCGCCTTTCAATCCATCCCAAAGGCCAGGACGCAAGAGCGGTGCTCGGACCCTCCGCAGCTATGCAGCCAACCCTCAGCTCCCCCAGAAGCTGCCACCACGAGGCCCTCCCCAGAGGCCCAGCCAGCTCCCTGCCTGCGCAGGCACTGCGCCCGCCTGGGCCTCTCGGAGCCCTCCCCTCTGCAGGACGCCTGCTCTCCCTTCAGTCCCAGCAACAAGCAGGCCCAAGGGGAGACTGAGTATGGCGGGCAGGGCTCGGAACTACTAACCACCTCAGACCAAGGCACCCAGGAGTGAGGCAATGCGTTTTTCTAAACTAAGGCTGTTGTGTCCTTTCTGGGATCTTTTCCTACACTCTCGAATGCTAACACGTGCTCTGCTGCGATCTGCACGAGCACAGCTTCAACAAAGCTCCCGCTCAGGCAAGGACACCAGAGACAAACCAGAGAGTGGGGGGCGGCAGGGACGAGGCTCACGGGTCGTGGCCGGACCTCAGGCCAGGTGCTCTGGCTGGAGCTCTGGTTCCCAGCTTAATAAAAACAGCACACACACCCCTAACTGATTTAAGTACAAAAACATACTCCGTGGCCAAACGCAAATGGCCTTTGGATTACTGACCTAATTTGGATATGTACACCACCCCTGGCCTCTGGTGGCCGGGACAACTGAAATCCATATGCCTCAGGGGAAACCAGGCAGGGAGTCTGCGCTGGCCTGGCACTGGCACGGTCGGGGGGAAGAGGCTGGGCTGGAATCGAGAGGAGGCTTGGTTTGGGCTCTGTCACACATCTCAGCAGGACTCCGGAGGTCACTTCGCCTCTCCCTATTTCCTCCTCTATGGGGCAGAAACCCAAGTAAGCCTGATGTTTTGCTGCATGAAAGCGATGCACACGGGGAGCATGCTGTTTAAGTGCAGTGGAGGCAAGCACCCACCGTAAAGAGTGCAAGCACCCACCAAGGGAAGACAACAGGCTCCCCACTGAGCTGCCGAAAGGGACAGAGCCAAGCCATCGCCACGCCTCAGCTCCTCCAGAGTTTGGCTCAGCCCTGCTGGGAGCACACGGACTCTGAAAAGCCCACGTAAACCGAGTACACTGCTTGGGTCTAATCCTACGGAACAGTTGCCTAACAGCTTACCCTCTAAGAAAACTTATTCAGTGGGAAAATTAGGTTGGAGAGGTAATTTTAAGAGGTACCAAGGAAGTTGAAGGAAATTCCAACTATGTATTGTATAAACTTATGTACCAGAAGGCAAACAAGGGCCAAGGCTCTGTAAAAAAGCAACTGTTAGCCTGAGGCAGGAGGATTACCCGGGTGAGACCAGCCTGGAGGACATAGTGAGTTCAAGGCCAGCTCCAACTACACACATAAGGAGAGCCTGTCTCAAAAAAAGGAAACAAAAACCAGTTGTCGTCGCCTGTCGTCGGCAGCACCATTCAGGGCCAGGATGTCTTCATCTTACGACCAAACATCCCAGGCCTAAGAGCCAGGACTCAGCTTTCCAGCTGGAAAACGCACAGTGCTGTTGGTCGCAGGCCCAGGACACACCTCAGCCCACATGTCCCGTATTCTAATGGTGACAATCACATACATCCCCTCAGAGGGAAGGTAAAAGACATTGTATGGCCCTTCCACAGCACACAGTGGTGGTAAACCTCTGGCACATGTGCCACAGTGAGCCCTTTGTGTCACTGAAAGCTCTAAGAGGTGTGCCACCACCGTCACAGGAAAACTGACCATCTGTATGTGTTACGGCCTGAGGCTGACAGCAGAAGGGATGAGTGAGCGTGGCAGGTGGCTGGCTGGGTGCACTTGCACCAGGCAGCCACCTCACCGCAGGCTTCTGCAGCAGGACCAGGGGAGGGGCATCCCCTGCCGCCCAGCTGGGCAGGAAGCCTGGCCAGCTCCTCCCAGACAACAGGCACATTTCTGGCTGAAACAAGGCTCTCACCTCGGGTGCAACAGACAATGCACCCAAACGCCAGGAGAAAAGTATCGAAGTCCTGGTGGTTTCACTCAGGACTAGAAGAACAGAGCAGTGTCTTTGAGGTTTTCGATAATTTGACAGGTGCCAAGACACACTTACTAGGCTGCGTGAAAGGCCCATTCTTTTTTTTTTTTTTTTTTTTGCAGTACCAGGGATTGAGATCAGGACCCTGTGCTTGCCAGGCAGGCGCTTATTCTACTGAGCTATCTCCCCGGCCTGAAAGGCCCATTCTTTTTTGTTGTTGTTGTTGTTGCTCGAATGCCTTCAGGGCACTTTTGGCCAGCGGGAGAGGTGTGAGGTTCAAACTCCAGCAACCTGAGGCTGACAGCTTTGTGGAAGCAGCCACTTAAAGGACTGAGCTAGGGCCAGGCCCCCATGAAAGGCCCATTCTTGAAGATACTGTTAAAACCAAAAATAACTACCTAGAGAGAATACCCATATCCTAAGAAAGAAACCATTTTATCTTGGGGAATGGGTGACTTGACTTGAGAAACTCAGAAACAACACAAGTAATTTCCTTGAATACACTCAACTAGAATGGCAAGGCGGTGCCCTATTATATCAAATATTGTATTTTTCCCACCACTCCAAAGAAATCCAATAAATAAATGTACAGTGAAAGGGCCTGGATCACACAGCAATGGATACCAGACAAACCCAAGTCCTGGGTCCCTGTGCAAAGGCCTGGACCATGTCCTACTGCAGCCAGCACTGCTCCGGCCTGCAGCTTCTTCCCACAGGGCCAGCGCAGGCTCTCGGCTGCTTGACTGAAGAGCTCTACCCGGTACTGCCCTGCAGTGAGCAGAGCCTGGCGACACTACGGGAAGCCAAAGCGAAGGTGTCCTGGGGCCTGGCTCCACCACCCGGCCCCTCCATAGACCGGCCTGGACGCTGAGTGGGTCAGGTGAGCTCCTCAGGGGCCTCCTGCCCGGTGTCCACCCGTCACGCGGGGAAGAGCTCAGGAGGGCTCTCTCCGTAGCAGTACTTGGCTATCGGGTCCCGGTAGGTGTTCTCGTGCTGCACACTCTGTTGGCAAAAGGAAGAGAAGCTGTAGTGAGGGGCAGAGCTGCACATACCTGGCTTTCAGGAGTTTTCAGGAGTCCAGAGCCGCTAGAGTTCCAAGGAACATCCTGGAACCCCGGAGGTTCCACACAGAGTGCTTAAGCAGGGCAGGAAATGGACACCCCGGCACCACATGGCTGTTCTTACGTCCAACGGGGAGCTTTCTGACGTTCACTGGGAAGTGACCGAGTGTGACCTGGAGGGGCAATGAGGATACCTTCTCTCAAATTATCTCAGATTAAAAATCAACAGCTGGGGGCTGGAGAGATGGCTCAGTGGTCTAAAGCACCTACTTGAAACAAGTTTGGCAAAGCACAGGGACCTCGGTTCGATCCTCCAGCACCACATGCCAGCCAGCCCCGCCCCCTGGTGGGCTGAGCTGGCCACACACACACACACACAATAAATAAATGTACTAAATAAAAATAAATAAATAAATAAAAAATCAACAGCTGTACCTAACTCTGCAGTCCAAAGAAATTCAGTCCCCAGTATGGAGCCTTACAGAGCCACTAAGGAGATGCACTCCAAATGGCTTCCAGGAAGTTTATGGAACCAACACTCTGGCACAGGAGCCAAACCGCACAAAACCACACAGGATCCACCTGCCCGGCAGATTCCCAGTGTGATTTAGAGAAATCGCCCCCAGTGGCGAATTCTTCAGCACTATGCGGTCATACAAGCAACGTGAATGTCTGACTCCGCTCGAGTTCAACAAGTAGCCCAAGACCAATGCTAAGCAACTGGAGTGTAAGCCTTCACCCAGCCTGACAGTCCCCGCCAAGCTGCCTCCTCCCAGGACACTACCACCACCACAGCACACTGCACGGCAACAGGAAAGCGCTATGACGAAAACGCCAAGGACAGACCGTAGTGTGGCTTTACTTACGACTAGAAGTAACTCCTGGGTTTTCAGTTAAGGAGAAAGTACTTTGCCTTTCTTAGCCTGCCTCAGAATGAGGCATGAACCAAAGTGAGCGGTACGTGAGGCCTCCCTCTACAGCTCCTTTCAAGCCCATTCGAGTGGAAAGCTCTCCGGGCAAAGCAAGCCTACCAGCAGTTTCTTAATGCTTTCAAATGCTCATTATGCCCCTGAAACACTCAAGGCTGCTGGATGCTCTGAGAACAAACTAGAGACATAAAACCAGGCACAGCATCCAACGGTGGACGACAGAAATCCGGCAAAGGGTGCAAAGGTTCCAGAGAACGTGAGTCTCCTATCTCAGACAAAGCCAGGAAAATCTTGACGACACCATGGATAGCGGCCAGCGGAAAGTGCTTGTCTAATAAACACATCTGGCAACGTTCCCCAGAGCTCCCACAGCCGCCGGGCCCAGGCACTGAGAGCAGGGACGGAGAGGCACTGCTCAGAGAGGCACTGCTCAGATGCACTCGGCAGCCGCGGCAGGCGTGCAGCGGGGCCCCAAAGAGCACCGGGCCATGACAGCATGCTGATGCAGCGAGGCTTCGAGGTACTTGTGCATTTATAAGCCCACCTGCCTGAGCCCCTTGAATCCTAAATAAAACCACAACTCTGCCTCAGAACAAATTACTGCTCATTCTAAACGAAGGCTTGCTGGAAAGCCTTAGTCAAATTTCAGTCACCAGCAGGCAAGAGCATCTCTTCAGAGCTGGACTATTAGGGCTCCACCCTGACTTGGAAAGAAATGATTGTACACTTCCACTTGTGTGCACACAGGCCCAGCAGACAGGAGGCCTGCAAGCTGACTGGACCTTCACTTAACATACATGTTTTACTTGCCCAAACTCGGGCAGCGCTCATGCAGGTATCCTACACTATCATCACCCAAGAAAAGCACAGCAGAGCTGCGCTCCAGCCTCTCCTCACCGGCCCCTACCCAGGTGGATCTGCTGGCTCCCTCCAGCGGCTGGCTCCCACCCGCCTCCCGAGAGCCGGCAGAGTGGCTGACCTGGGAGGAGGTCCTGCACTTAGCCAGACACAACTCGAAGTGGTCCTCAACTGCCAGGAAGAGGTTCTGGAAGGCTACTGCTGCCCGGTTGAGGAAGCGCTCCAGGAGAAGTTGCTATGGAAACAAAAGTTAGTACCTGTAGTGACTCCAGGCCAAGCCAGAGCAAAGCAACCTTGAATCTCTCTCCTCAGAGAGATTGCTGGTATGGGGGAGGGAAGAGGGAGCCAGGTCTCGTAGGCACTAGAGATCTGGTCAGCAAAACGATGGTCTGTTCTCTGAGAACCGTCCAGGTCAGCCGGCACCAGCGCCCCCGTAGACAAAGGCCGCGGCACAGCAGTGCAACTGCCTCCTGCGAAGCCCCTCTCTGACATCTACAACCCGAAGAGCCTCCCAGGAGGAGCCTAAGGCACACCACATAATCAAGGCTGGAGGACAGCGAGGCCCAGGGAGGTGCCCCACATACCTTGCTGGGCTGAAGGCAGCAGGAAACACAGTACTCATAGGCGCCGCAGCAGCCGTTGGCGAGGCAGCCATCGCAGCAGTACTGCTTTGTGCTGGGGACACTGCTGTCACAGCAGCCGCTGGCCAGTAGGTCCTTCCGCTCGCAGACGTAGCCTGCAAGTCAGAGACCAACCTCAGTAGGAACCAGAGTACCCGCCACCCTTCGGGTGTGCCTGGGAAGCAAGAGCGGAGCCAGCACAGGAAGCAGGACAGCAGGAAACCTGGGCACCACGGATTCAGAGGACGTCTGATGAGGGTGGGCACCCAAGACGCAGACACAGGGACCCCTGCACCGCCGGGTCTGCATCGTCACCTTCCGACAGGCCCTTCAGCACGCTGTCTTCTGTCTCAGCACTGTGGCAGCCACTCCCAAGAGGTCTGTGACCGACGCAAGCCAGCTGTTGTCTGGGTCTGAACTACGTCACTTCTTCATTGAAAATAAATAAACAGAGCTGTGGAGGTAGCTCCGAAGCCTAAGTGCCTGCCTGGCTTGCACAAGGACCCACGTCCAACCCCTGGCACCTGCAGTGCCGGCCCGGCACCGAGCACTTTGTGCCAGTCACCAAAACCAGGCATGGCGGCACATTCCTGTAATCCCAGCACTGGGAAGGCTGAAATAGTAGGATCACTAAGAGTGTGAGTTGTGTAGCAAGACCTCAAACCAAAAAACAAAACAAAACAAAAAAACAAAGGCATTAATTTATAAAAATGAGATCTTTCTAGATTTGAGAAACTAATATTCTCTAAAAATATCTTTTAAAGGTGCATGCCTGTAATCCCAGCAGTCAGCAGGAGGCTGAAACAGGAGGCTTTCCATGAGTTTAAGGCCAGCCTGGGCTACATAGCAAGTTCAAGGCCAGTTTGGCCTTCATAGTGAGACCCTGTCTCAAAAAAACAAAAGCCAAACATCTCTGTAGCTATTGCTATTGCTATTTCTATTTCTCTCTCTCTCTCTCTCTCTCTCTCTCTCTCTCTCTATATATATATATATATATATATATATATATATGTGTAGCTATATAGACATATAGATACTTAAGTGTTTGTTGGTTATTTAGTAATTTGGAGGATTTTTCACATAGAAATAGTCAGGTCTAACCTCTTCAAACTTAGCCTGCTTCAAAGGTGTACACAGCAAGGACTCAGTCACTCTCAGCATTAGGCAACACAATTTTCTACCACCCAAGGAAGAGAAACCTCCCAATTCCCTGCACTCCTTGGCGATCCTGTCACCCATATACACATATCCCCTTCAAGCCAGTAAATTCATACTCTACTTGAGGAAAAGAATCTCCTTATGGGAGCTAATTTATAATTCAGAGCTGCTAAATAGACATTTCTCCATGTCCTTCTGGGAGTAGGACAGAAAAATGTAGGAGCAAGTCCACAAGGGCTGCCACACGCGTGCACAGGCCTGCAGGGTGCAGCAGCTGTCCCCAGCACTGCTCCGCTCCACAGGTCCCAGCTTCCTGGTCCTTGGAGAGCCACACTTGATAAAGTATAAGGTTGTTTTCAGAACCTACTCTGGAAAACAAAGTCTGTGCAAAGTCAGGCAGCACCAAGAGACTGGCATGAGGGGCAGCTAACAAGGCCTCACCAACACCGGGAGCCTGGGACCTTGAAAGGATCACCCCTCACTACCAGGAACTGGAGCCTTTGTTGTACCGCTAACTATGCTATTCGCCTCCTAAATTAAGAGGATGATTTTAATGTCACAGTAAGTGTTTCTGGATCCTTCCAGAGTATTTCTGTTCATTTTCTTCACAGGTGTCATCAACAACAAAAATCTAAGTAAGTAGGTACTGTTCTCAAGTCTGACCCAAAAGATACCGACATCTTTTTGTGCCTGAAAAATATAAAACGTGATCAAAACGCCATTTGCTGAAACCACCTCCTACCTCCTGCCCTGTTCCACAGCATAAATGTCAGTGTGTCGTGCAGGCGTTCTTTTCCTGCCCAGGGCCAGCTCCCAGCATTCGGCCTTGCAACTGCAGGTCTACCTTCTGGGAAAACAAGTTCATCGGTGACAATCACTCACCGCCTCTAAATCTACTCACGCAAATGTTATTTCAAGAAGGAGTCCTGTGAGATCACAGCCTCAAAACGTGTTGCTATTGCCAGGGAAATTAACTTTCAACCTTTGAGAACTTTGTAATTCTAATTGGTTGTCTTACTTAATAACGTGTTAGCCTAGCAATATTCATGATGGCATCTGCTTGCTAAAAGGCATAAATTGTTGCAAGTTTTCTTCATTAAACCACTTCTCCAATATTCATGAAGATAAAATAACGCCTGAATTTTCACTGATGGGTTGAGTCCTGGAGCTTTTTGCTCAAGGATTTTATGACTCTTTTGTCTCCCCTAAGCTAACCAGCACAGGTCTACCTTAGGGGAGACAAAAGAGGAGGAGGATTCTTTTGCTAGCTATGATAAAAGAACATGACTTTTTGCTTAGAAGGGATTACAGTCAAGGCAGAGATTTCCTGCTGTCTGTAAGAAACAGGCCCTTGCACCAAGCCATGGCGCCTTGTCCTAGTCGCGGGTCTGCCTGTTCCCGGCAGAGTGGCTTTGTGGAACCTCACTCCCTTTACCAGCTCCACTGTGTGCCCTGCTTTCCAAGGGGACAAGTCTCCTCTGAATCCTTTCTTCATGCCAAAATCATCTCATCTCTGGTTTGAGGACTTTGAGATCTTTTGAAAAAGTTCTGTTATTTTGCAGGGGATGCAATATTTTCTTCCCGTTGTTTTGCAGTAATGCACCACAGCTTTCACTTTAAAGACAGCAGGTGTTGGGCCAAGCCAGCCTTAGCGCCAAGTACATGGAGATTCACTACAGGTTTACCCGCACAATTCCAATATTGTCATATTCGTAATCCATGTTGAGACTCCTTGAAATGGGGTGAAATTTATGCTTATAAACAAATTTTTTAAATTGTATTTGCAAACTGCTAGTTGAAAAAGAAATCTGGAAAAAAAAAAAAAAAAAGGAAAGAAAAAGAAATCTGCAGAGTACCCAGGGAATTTTGAATGCGAGATAGCCTCAGGGAGAAGCCGTTACTCTAGAGGTGGTAATTTTTGTGTTTACAGATCATGCAGGGCTCTCTGCAGTCTTAAGCAAGTTCCTTAACTGGTGTCCTACCTTTCCCCTACAGCTTAGGTGCTGCAACCTCAAAGGAGGTGTTCCCAGGATGCTGCAGCCCGTGGCAGCACTCAGTGCAGGCTGAGCACGAGGTGGAAGGCAGCTGCCAAGTAGTAAGCACACTCCCAGGTACGGCCTGCCTCACACGGCAATCGCCGCGCTGCCTTTAAGCCTTCCTGATGGATTCACTGCAGGAACACGTGAGCATCTGTCTGCAGTTTCCCTGAAATTATCTGCTTAGTCCAGTGTCAAAACTGTGGGCTTCTTCAGGAGGAAAACTCAGGTCTTATCCTACTAATTTCAGATCAAGGTAAGAAGGAAAGACTGCCCAGATCCAAAGCCAGGGCCTGGAGAGAACAGCAGGGGCAGTCTAAGGACAGACGGCAGGAAGTGCTAGCACCAGAAGCGCCAGCCAGAGAAGCGCCAGGAGCTACAGCCACCCCATCAAGGAGCCCAAAGCTAAAGGGATCAGCCTGGGTGGGTGAGCGCAGTGTGAAGGACAGAGATGATGTGGGGACGCCTGGCAATGAGCACGAGGGAAACGCGCTGAAGGAGAACCCCACTGAAACCAAGTTATGACGGCCGCAGCAGTGCGGGACTTGGGAGAGGAGGACGTGAAGGGCGGCCGCCTTACCCAGCTCATCTGTGATGAGGTGCTTCCCTTGAATGGAGTTTCGGCACTGGTTGCTTGGCCGGCTGCTGTTGCCCAGATTAAATTGCACCTTCCACGGGATGGGCTGGTCGTGGTCTTGAATCTGGAGGAGATTCCGATCTCTCACCGCCCTCTCCTCCTACAACAGGACCAGAAGTGAGAAGGTTAAAGGATCTTTCCTAGAAACCAAATCAATTTTTCATAGAAACTACAGAAGAGGATGGAAACACTAAAAAACTTGCACTACAGGAATCCACACTCTCCTGATATAACCAAAAGTCTGAGCAAAGTCATGAAATAAACAGTATGTAAAAGTAGTAAACCAGGGCTGTGCTTCAAGACTGGCATATCTATACACATTGCCCAGAGTGACACGCGCATTATAAATGTGTACAGAGTGTTAGTCTTGGGGCCAGGGAGACAGCTCAGCGGCCTAAGCACCGACCTGGCAAGCACACAGTCCTGAGTTTGATCCCAGGTACCAGCCCCTCCAAAAAAGAAGTGTTAGTTGTTGTTTGTTTGTTTGTTTGTTTGCAGAACCAGGGATTGAACTCAGATCCTTGCACTTGCCAGGGAAGCACTTATTCCACTGAGCCATCTCTCCGGCACCAAGAAGTATTAGTTTTATGAAAAAGGATTTGAAGGGAAAAGTTTCAAGTTGTTTTTTTTTTTCTGATGGCAAGTCATTAAAAACACACACACTTATAATGTTAAAACAAATATACTACAGAATAGAATGAAAAACTTTTAATATTTTCAAAATAGAAAAACAACTTTTGTGACTGTCATCTCAGACTGCAGCCAGGCTAATGTAGAATGTGAGGTCCCTCCTGTTCGTACTCATAGGTACTTTACTATACATGTACGAAAGGCCTGCATTAAGGGCTGACTTCAGGGGTCAGATGGAGGTCACCTCTTGTGTGACAGGACAGAATACGCCAGCCTTACAACGCATAGGCCACCCTGGCCACAGTCCACTGCCGGATGGGCAGGGGGAAGAGCTGCCCCAGGACTCCAGCTTATACCCTTCCCCCTCACCTTCAAGGCAAGCCTTGGAGTAGCACAGCTTTCAAAGCCATCTTTTTTATACTACTAAAGAATCTAAGGGGGAAGGCGCCCCGCACCGGAAAACAAGCCAAGCACGAGACAGCCATCTTCTGGACGCTGCAATTCATTATTGGAAAACAAAACAATTATAAAAGACTCTCCCGGAGGCTTTATGGACATTAAACATTCACCATTCTAACAGCGTTCGAGGCTTTTGCCATTAAGAATGATCTGTCGCGTGTCACTTTCTAAGCAAAGGGGATTGACTTTGAAAATTTAATGGCAAAGCTTATTTATTTTTTAAAAACGGAAAAGATATTTGTACTTACTCAGGTTTCTTTAGGAAAATAATCTGAAGACAGCTATTAACATTTAAAATACACACACCCACATACTCTTTGGCCCAGCAAGCCCTTTCTGAGAACCATCCACTAGAAAACACCAACATAAGGGTGCATAAGGCTGTTGACTACAGCACTGTTTTGTTTTTTTTTAATTTTATTTATTTATTTATTTAGTGTGTGTGTGTATGTGTGTGTGTGGCCAGCTCAGCCCACCAGGGGGCGGGGCTGGCTGGCATGTGGTGCTGGGGGATTGAACCGTGGTCCCTGTGCTTTGCTAAGCTTGTTCGAAGTAGGTGCTTTAGACCACTGAGCCATCTCACCAGCCCCCGTACAGCACTGTTTCTTTTTCCCTCTTTTTCTTTTTCTTTTCTGAAGATTTATTTATATGGTACCAGGTCTCACTACGCAGCTTGGACTCACAGTGATCCTCCTGTCTCAGCCTCCCTGTGCTGGGATTCCAGGCATGCACCACCACACACAGTTTCAGGGGTCGGCATGGCACAGGGCCAGCATGGCACGTGGTACCAGGGATTGAACCCAGGTCCTTACACTTGCCAGGCAGGCGCTTACACCACTGGGCTATCTCCCTGGTCCTACAGCACTGTTTCAACAGCAGAAAAATCAAGAAGGCCAACTGGGAAATGCCTGAATATATACTGGTACAGATCTAACAGAAAAACCAAACCCAGGCTCAAGTGATAGCTAACCAGGTAGTTCTTCAATCTATGTTACACAGGGAGTTTAAAGCAGATTCCAGGTAAGTCAGACTTAGACTTGAGCCTGCAGCCTACACACAAGGTCACGGACATCACTAAGTTCCCAGATGTTCCCAGGCAGACAGGGCTGCACACTGCTGGATGGCTGTCACGTATGAAGTGAAAAAGCTAGAAGCAAAATGGTGTGCATCTTACAGGTTACTATGGTGATACAAATCAGGACACCAGGAGCTGCACCTTAATAAAGATACAGAAAGCTACGTGACACTTACTACTGCAGGAGGGACATAAGTAACTATTAAAATTTTATCATCTTTCAGATATTATTTTCAATTCAAAATACAACTTAAAACATACTCAGCATTAATAATAGGAGAAATTAGATGAAGAATTTACAAGAACTACACTATCTTTGCAATGTTTCTGTTAAGATTATTCCATAATAAAAGGCTTATTTTTTTTTATAACAAGCAAACAAAAACCATGAATCCCAGCATTAAAGACAGAAGCCCATCACTTCAATCAAACTGCTTCTGCTGATTAACTTCTGGCCTCCGACCCTGCTTTGCACTCCACGTCAAGGACGCTTTGCATTCAGCTCTTCTTCACACTAACTGGGTAGTAAAGCATGTTCACGTTCCTACACTACCTTGACGGTCACATCTTCAGGACCACATACCAATCCGTCACGCCGACGTGCCACAGTTCAGTGAACATGCGCTTCACAGACCAGCTGGAGGCTTCTGTTAGCAGACAGCACTGCAGTCCAGCATAAGAGTTCCACGACTCCTCTTGAAGAATCTGTGCTGGTCAATACTATAGAACTGCCCCCAAGTTTTTGCTGCCATTTGTAGTACTACCAGCATTTAAATAAAGCTGCTCTCAATTTGAACCGAAACCCTAGCAGTTTCTTTTTTTTTTTTTTGGCAGAACCAGGGATTGAACTCAGGCCCTTGTGTTTGCCAGGGAAGCGCTTATTCTACTGAGCCATCTTCCCGGCCCCAAGGTGGTCTTACTTTTTATTCTGCCCCTACCTATTTCTTTTAGGATGAAGAAGTGGCACTTGCAGGCACAGGGCAGTTAAACAAAAACAATACCTGTATTCCTTGGTTACTGCAAGAGGAGCTAAGCGCAGGACTCTTGGGAGTCAGGACAAATCACTTAGGTGCACCCTGCTGAACGACCTGTAAATTCACGCCAGCTGCCCTCCTGGGACCGCATCAGTTAGCTGCATAATCAAGCTGTGAGTGAGCTAACCTGAGCCGCCAACACAACCCTGAATAAACTAATGGCAGTAAAGACTATTAAGGGGCTGGCCAGAGTACAGTTCGCCGACCGGCTCTTACAGCAGGGGTCAAAGTGCCCTTGGCACCCTTCCCAAGCTGGCCGGTTATTCTTCCTGGCAGAAAACAAGGGCTCATGGACAAGTGCACCTCGGATGGATCTCTGCCATACAGTACGTTCCTGGGAAAAAGGAAAGCAACGCTCCTAGCACTTGAACTCATTTTCAAACATGAATAATCAGGACCTTGCTAGAAGGGCCGCGCAAGGCAGAGTGAACAGAACGCAACGCCTCGGCTCCTAGTCCTTCTCTGAAGACCCAGCCGTGCAGGCCGAGGGGAAGGCAGCGTGCTCGGACAGCGCCGGGCTGTGGCGCCATGGGCACGGAGTCTGAGCCTCTCCCAGCTGTCGCCTCACCCGACCAGCTCTTCTCAACTCTAAGCTTTTCCATGTATTTTATATTTCTTTTCATTCAAGGTTGATTCAAAGGTAGGGATGGTCACACAGCGCTAAGGACGCGGAGACAAAGATAGTCGAGCCACGTGCTCCCCGAGCGTCCAGGAGCTGCTGAGAGACGCAGCGCCATCGCTGGCTGCAGAGGCCACGACAGATGTCCACACAGAGACTCTGTGGTCTGAAGAAGAGTGGGAATGAAAAGAGGCAAGAATATTCCCGACTTTCTTCAGAAGTGGGAATACGCTACTGACGTTTTTATTTTCACTGCATGTTATTTATTCTGCTTTAGATTTTCAAAAGGTTTTTTTTTTTTTTTTTTTTTTTTAAAAATTTTTTTTTTTTTTTTTTTTTTTTTTTTTTTTTTTTGTATTTGGTGCAGGGTCTAGAGGGTCTCACTACACAGATCGGTCTTGTAATGATTCTCCTGTTTTCAGCTTCCCAAGTTATGATTACAGGCGCAGGCCACCACACTCAGTCTCAATCACTGTCTCAGCATGCGCAGGAGAGGGGACAGCACAGCAGGCCAGGGATCAAACCTCCTCCAATCCCTGTGTCAAAAGGCGTATTAACAGGCTGGGGAGATAGCTCAGCAGTCTAAGTGCCTACCTGGCAAGTGCAAGGACCAGGGTTCAATGCCTGGTACCACATGCCATGCCAGCCCTAGAACCCCAGGCATGCCAAGCCAGCCACCAAAATCAGGCGTGGTGGCCATGCCTGTAATCCCAGTGCTGGGGAGGTTAAGACAGGAGGATTAGCATGAGTCTGAGCTGAGTAATGAGACCCTGTACCAAATAAATAAATAAGTGATTTTTCTAAAAGTCATATTAATAACTGCTGTTTCTTAGAGAATATCCTAAGGATCAAATGAGATAAATGTCCCATGTAAATACTGAAGCACTTAAACGCATGGCAGCGCTGCTCTAAAAGATTCACTTCTGAGGCCGGGGCTACAGCTCAGTATACAGCACTTAATATGCCCAACGGGAAACACCACTTGCGGACATATGTCAGAAAGAGGGAGGGGCAAGGCCAGAGGGCACCCAAGTGCCTAATAATGTGTGAAACGCAACTTGATAAAGGAGAAAAAAGCATTAGGAGCCTTTAAAGATGGTGAAAACGCTTATGTGTTCAGTCAAAAAAAAAAACAAAAAAACAAAAAAACAAAACAACCCAGCATGTCTTAATTATATGAAGGAAAAAAGTGGAAAACGACAGGAAGAAAGTATGGCCATGTATAAGCAGTGGCCCCATCTCGTTGGCGACACAGCAGGGACAGCTCCCACCCTCCACTCTAG